ATATTTTTTTTTATATTAGTTCTAAGAATCACTTACATATTTACATATTTCATTATTAACTTCATCAAATTGAACATCTCGTGATCCCCAACAACATTGTTCTCGATTAAGCCAAAATGCTGATGTACAAACGCCTGTTCTCCAATGACTCATCCATTTAGCTCCAATATCAACAAAACCAGCTACAGTACCTATTTAAACCAATATATATATATATAGGAATGATACAAAATTCAATATTATTTACCAGCTGATATACCAACTAATAAAACACAAAGCCATCCACTCCATGCATCAAACCAAAAGATGAATCTTTTTTTCCAACTTTGTCTTCTTTGTGCACGTAAATTTCGATGTCGTATACGATTACGCATTAAATCTTTTAACCAATCGATTGTTTCAAAATTTTCATAATGTTTACGAACAACATATGTTACATTAGTTACTAAATAAAAATAAAATACAAATAATTCAATTAGAAAATTTTTCATGCAAAAAATAAAATCTTTTTACTTTGTTCATCATCATGTTTATTATCAAATCTACTTCTAACATCATGATTATTATCAATCATAGTAACAGAAGTTGTACCACCTGATGTACCACCAGTTAAATCACATTCTTCACCACTATCATCTTCATCTAGAGTAGGATAATCTTTTTCAGTTTGATGTTTGATATTATCATCTTCATCACCGTCCATACTAGGTACAGGTGAAAGATTAAATCGAGCACGACTATCTATTGATGGATCACCTAGAGAAAAAACATCCATGTATTTGCTTTATGCGAATCAAGTATTTTCTGCATACGATTTAATTTTCTTTCACTCCCACCACTACCCGGACTGCTTGGTGATGCCATATATACGATAAGAGAAGGATAAGAGGAGAATCTAAGAATAAGAATGATCAGAAAAAGAGATTCTGTTGGTCAATAGTAAAAAGAAAAAAAAAAAAATCGCACTGAGTAACTGAGTTTTTTAATGTACAGGTGTTACTGGTAGTGCATGCATCATGTGCGAATATAACCATGATGATTTTAATGTTTTTCATCGTTCTTTATCGCTTTCTATGTCTCTCTTTCTTCTAACATTCTTACACATATTCATTCATTTCTTTTTTCATTAACTATCATGTTTGTTCTTTCTTTCAAGGTAAAAAAATAAACAACTATATACGAGTCATTGTGATTTAATAAATGATGAAGATGAAAGGAAATATACGAGATAACTGAGAAAAATATTTAAAAAAATATGATATATCATCATATACATCACCATGTACTTTGTTTGATATCCCTATAAAATAGTAGTTTTATTTTTCAAGATGATCTGTTCTTAATGATTAAAAATTAATAAAAAAAAAAATATTCATAAAATTAAACAAAAAAAGATTTTGTTCTTCGAATACTTATAAAGTATTATCATTGATAACTTATTCTTTCTAAATATTATTTTGTAAAAATCGATATAAATAAGTTTCATTTCATATTTAGTATTTCGTTACATATATTCTCAATTATATAATCATTGAAATTTTTCTACATTGAATACATTATCTAAATGGTCACTCACGGCTAGTAAATTGACTTATAGATATGAAAAAATATTATTCTTTCTTCTTTTCTTTCTTTCTTTTTATTCCTAGTCAACATTGATATATTCATTTATCATTGACCTTGAAATAAACAATGTACGTGGTTTTCTTTTCATATGTACACTGATCGACCGACTAAAGCATATGATACTACGTGTTTTTATCTTAAAAACAATAGAAATAAAAACAAACATGTGATGTTTTTTTCATTGTAATATATTTACTATGCATATGAAAAAGAAAATTAAATTTTAGAAATATTCAAAAGTCTTCCTAAGAAAGATTAAAACAGTTTTATTTATCCAAAGAGGAAAACTTCAAAATAAACACCAAAAAAAAGTCATATGCCGAAAGTGTCGATCTTCATTCAAATCAGCATACTTTACTATCTTTCTCAGATTGCTTTTCTCTCATTTTTGTCTTCATTCTCATCTTTTCAATTTTTTTGTTTCCCTTATAACATATATATATATATACAATTGCATGTAGTAACAAACTACAAGGTAGAAACATAGGTCATATGGTATGGATTCTCAAAAGAGATTTTATAAGTTTAAGATAAAAAAGAGCATGAATGAAAAGCTACTAGTATATCAAAAAGAAAATATTCATGGGATAAATAACAGCTGCTTTATATCGAAGATCATTCGATAGGTATGCAGATGCATATATAATAATATTACCGCAAAGTGATTTTTTTTTTTAATATTGATGAGTTAATATATATGATTTGAAAATTTCAATTATTCAATTAAATATCGATATAAATAAGAGAGAAATTGAAGCACAAGCTGTTTCTCCTTCATATCGATAAACTCTTATTTTCTTTTTTTATGATCAGTTAAGTTGACGTTTGTGATACAGAAAAAGTATGAGCAATTTTTTATTCCAAAGTTTTATTTAATGTTTCAAATAAAAGTGTTTGTATTAAATAAAAAAATTAAGATTTAGACATATGTTTATTTCATAGATCGACTATTTAAATACATCTTGTTAGTTTCAAAATTAAGAATTGAATTATTAGAACTTCTTTTTTTCGAACAGATTATTCATGTTCTTTTTTTCTTTTTACAAAACTATAAACAATGTCGAGTTAGTTTTTAAACACATTGTCTACAAAACTTGTTTATAGAAAACATGTGACGAAGCACGTTGAATATGAATAGAAAAGCAAAAAGTTACAACAGAAAAAAAAAAAAGAAAATATGCAAAAGACTATTTGAAGAGATGAATCAATCAATATCAATTAAATAAACATTTATATATAGCACATGATAGTATTTGGACTTTTTTTTGCTTTTACGTATTTTATTTATTGTTTTTATTTATTCTTAATATAGAATCGAATAATAATGTCCATTGATTACGTATATTTAAATGAATCATCAATTGATAATAATATTCAATGTTCTATTCATAATGATCCATTTTAAAAACTATATACAACATCATGTGATCATATTTTGTATTTATAAATGTATTAAACAATAGATTGAAATAAATAAAACCTATCTTCTATTTTAACACAGTTAATGATTTAACACATGTTAAAAATACGTTTAATATTAAATAATAATCTTTTAGTAAAATGTAAATCTGTAAAAGAAAAAAAAACGAATAGAACTTATGAATTTTGATGAACATTTTTAAAATATAAAAATCAATCAAAATAATATTATCAATTTATTCAAACCCCGTGATATATTATGAGTTTTATTTCTAGGAAATTTTTGCAACATTTTTGATTCGTCAATATCTATTATTTATAAGTATTCGATAACTCTAATGATTATATATTTAATCAATCAAATATATGTGCATTTTTTTCATAAACGTGACAATAATCTCTCTTAAACACTTATAAAAGATCTTGAAATTAAATATTATTTATCATCACAATAAAAACAAAAAAATAATTCACTCAACAATAATTTCATTTAAATTATAATGTAACAAAAGCTATTGAACTACCATCTTGAATGAATATTGTTAAAATTGAATTCTCTATTCTAAATAATTTCTTTTTTTGTTTATATTGGAATGAATTCAATTAAGATATAGAATAAATAAATAATTTAGATGATAGTTTTGTTTTTTTTTTCAAAAGAGAAATATTTATTTTGATTTAACTAGTTATACAGTTAGGAGAAACATTCTGTATGATTTTTAAAAAACATTGTTTAATTATTGAGAAAATTAATATTTTCCAATATGATAGCAAAAGAATTTATTACACTTTCTTCATCAATACTTCAATGTCTGATTTCTAAAAGTTTTTTCTATTGAATTATTTCATTTTTTTGATAGCCTGAATGATTTTTCTCCAAGAAACAGAAGACACTGTTCGATAGAGCGTACGAGACACTGTTCAGCAGAGCCTCCGATTAGAAAATTTACTTGAGAGTATCAAAATACAATTCGATCGGATCTGAATCTGACATTTTTAGACTCTAGTGACTCTGCTGTGTTGCAGCAATGAATTAAACTAGGACTGATCATCTTTCGAACATTATACTGAAGTTAACATCTTAAATCTAATTTTGGCATGAAAAAAATCCGTTTTTTCTCCATGGTTTTTGAGATAATACTTGATATCTTATCAAGACTCTGAGATCTCAATTCGATTCAAAATTGTAATCTATACTGAGAGTATTTATTCATTTTAGCAAGCCAACTTTCGATTCGAGTATCAGTGGAAAACATTGAAATCATCTAAAAATTTTATGAATATTGTGAGGATGAACCCCACATGCCAAACAATTAGTACAGCGACTTTGAGCAAATATAGTATCGATAATCGAAAAAAAAATATATATGCCAATCAAGATTCTTTTACATATTGACGTATAATCATTCGTTATTGCTAAACATTTTTCTAGATATGCAATGAATTCGTCACTTATTAAAATATTTGGAAATGATAATTGAACTTTCTTATTTTAGCTTGAATACTACTTATCTTGTCATAGTATCGTGTAATGTACTACTCGTCATTCGAAAAATAAAAATATTTTGACATATCAAATGTGCAAATTATTTTCATCGTTTGATTTTATATTTGACAAAAACTAGTATTCGACTTATATTTACATCGTTGATTATCATTGTTGACCAAAAAGAAGAATTTAGAACTTCTAAAGACAAATAATTGTATATGTTGAAATATGAAAACAAAATAAAACACAGTTGTTCTATTTCCATCGAGTTAATATAAACATTTCCTAATGAATTTCCTTTATTCAATAATAAAGATTCAATGAAGTTTTTTTTTTTTTGCATTTTTTATAAGTTCCGAAAGAGAAGAGTTTTGAAGAAATAGTAAGGAAAAAAAATCGAGATGTGATTAAGAACTAAAAAAGTTTAATTCATGCGCGAGTTCTCTTTTTTACGCCATTAAATGCTTTAATATGTTTTGCCAGCTTTCGTTTGTTTGCTGCTTGTATATTTTTCTGTAATTGTATTATTGCGACTTGTTCGATCATCTACAGATGATGACGATGTTTGAGTATTTCGATCTATAAATATAATATCAAACATCTTTATGTGGTCAAATTTAAGAAGAAAAAAAAATGAATCTAACTTGTTGCTTTTGTTGTCGATGTTGATGTTGATGCCGTTGCTGCTGTTGCTGCTGCTTGCCTTTTTTTAACTTCCTGTTGTATTCTTTCATTTATTTGATCCATTGTTTCAATTGGATAATCAAGTTCTTTTTGAATTTGACGTATTGGTCGCGTTATTATTTGTCGTCGATGCCGTTCATTTTCATCTTCTTCAGAATTTAAATTTAAACTTGATAATAAACGATCTGATGCTTCACGTGTATGTTCATATCCCTATTTAACAAAAAAGAAAAACGAAAAATAAAATATAAACAAAATAAACAATTTACTTTTGCACGTAGAATTGCTTCTTTTTCTAAGCGTCGAACTTTTCTTGATGTTCCTAACATGTTTAGATAATTGCGCGTGATGTAAACCCTTTCCTATGCTTTACTATACTTCTTGTATTGCGTATAATAATAATAATAATAATAACGAAGAAGAAAGCTATGGATTTCCTTTTTCTTTCGTCGCATGAGGATACAGTTACCGTTCCTATATCTATTAGAACTTGGATAAGGCAGAAAAAAACCATCTTACAGACGAAAGAAACAGAAAAAGAAAAAAAAATGTATATTATTGGTATGTCCCATATATCTTTATACTCATTGATACGTATAATACAAAATAACAAAAAGTTAGTATATGACATCATATATACAGAACGACAATATGCAGTTAACAGACAGATTTTTACTTAACCAAACACACAATAGATGGTGACTTCTAGAATCTTCGAAGTACTTCATGAGTTGTTTTTTGTTTGTTTCTACTAACAAATGGAGAAAATAAGATACAAATCTGTAAGCATTATAACATATGTGAAATTGAAAAAAAAAAAGGATAACGTTTATCAACAATCATATTTTTAAATACAAGCTGTTAAATGATTTTAATAATAGGATCCATATATGATGAAAGATTCTTTATTTTTAAGGTGAAACATGATTCTTTATTGATCTATGTCGTTTTTAATAATATATGTTGTTCGTATTTTCGAAACATTATTCGAAAAGAGTATGAGTATATATATGACACATTACTCTTCGATCACATCCAAATAGAGTATAGATCTTGTCTATATACTATTCGTATGATTTGAAAGATCGGATTCATTCATTTTTATGAAGAATAGTTAAATCGATCTGATCAGCATTGAGGGGGAAAAAGAAGAAAATAACATAACGATTTGAAAAGTCATACTTTTCTTCTCTACAATGATAACTTTGAGTAGCATCCTGTTTTTCTTTTTTATTAATCTGAAAAACTAATATCTCGTTAGTCACTACATAGTAATACAATCAATAAATGCCTTTTATCGACGATAAATATTTTGTTTGATTTATTATGTGATAAATTTTACGGAAACAAAAATCGGAGTAATATATATATCATTCTTCCTTTTATCTCTTGGTGGTTGCTGCTAGATCCGTTCAATGTTTTGATATCTCTCATCTACAAAACTATTAGGAAATTCGCTAAAAGTATTCGATTCACTAGTTAACATGTTCGTTATTATATACATATATATTACCATAGCACATCTCCGAAATGCATTTTGTCTTCAAGTAAAAACAATTTTTAAGAAAAATTTCATTATTTTAAACTCATTGATTTTGTAGGTCATACTTTTCAAATATAGAATAATGAATTAAAGAAAGAGACTTTTTTTTAGTAATCAATAGTTCATAAAGCTTTGTTTAACTGATATGGAACTAGTGGTGAATCACATAGTTTCTGCTAATGTTTACATCGTTATATGTTCAGACGTAAAGAATTAAATGTTTTCTATACATGAATCTTTAATCGGTTTTATTATTAAAATTTTGTGCATTAAAACAAATGTTTGATTTTAAAAACACTAATCACATTTAAAATGAATCGAATAAAAAAAAAAGAATAAAAAAATAATTTTGTTTATTTTTGGCTAGAATTTATTCGTTGAAACTGTCATTAAGTAACAATGTATTATTGAGAACTTCTACGAATGGACTAATTCGAAAGATCGGTGTTATCAATATCATAGATGCAATAAGAATTATAACAATACCAAACAGTTTCATAATGAGTCCAACTTTAATTAAGTCCATAATTCTGACATTGCCACTTGAGAATATCATCGCATTAGGTGGTGTAGCTATAAATAAAAGCCACTATAGAATTTACACAAAAAATAAAACATACCGATGGGCAACATGAATGAGAGTGAAACACCCATACATGATGGTAAAATAAGACGTGCTGCATGAATTCCTGTTGTTTTTGCCTATGAAAATAATGAGATGTATTGTTTATAACAATTACTACTTTAGTTATTGGGATGAAATTGAATATTAACAAGAAAAGTTTTACAGTTGATAAATTACTTTTGAGCTGCGGCTATATGTATCATGTAGATTCTAATAGACTATGAATATTCTGCAAAGAGTTATTTAGGATTATGGTTTTAGTCAGAAACAGAAGGAAAAATTATTTTCAAATTTCGACTTGAAAATTTGTACGCAGACAGAACTTAATGAGAACAATTTATTGTTAAACTATCAGATATTTTGATATCCTGTTCTCCTAAAATAATAACATGAAACCTACTGCTGTTATAATAACAATGTATCTTCGCTGTAATAAGCTAAGAAATCGAATTTTTTTCTGAAGATATGCATAGCTCATTACGGTCTACATTAAACTTTTAAAACTATACTCCGGAAATAATCATATTTTAAAATTATTATCAATCCTTATAAAACTTTTACAACAAAATGTAATTCTCTTACTCATATGAGAAAATTCTTTTGACTTCTTTTAAGACTTTTATAATTTAGTAGAATCGATTTTATGAAAGAATTCAAAAAGAAAAAATTGATAATAGATAAAAATATTTCTTACAATGCTATCAAGTATCGGAAATAGAATAGTTGCACAGGCAAGATTACTTGTAAATTCAGTGAATATTGCACTCAATACAATAATAATAAAAATAATAGTAATATCAGAAGCTCCAACAATAAATTGAAGAAAAGTAGCTATTGTGTCCGATAGATTCGATGCCTAAAGTAACGATGACACGTATAGAAGAAAACAAAAATAATTCATTTGCAATTTACTTTGAATCCTTCAGCAATAGCCAAACCGGCGCCTTGTAACATAAATACACCCCAAGGAAAATTTTTGGATAAATGATCCCAACGAATAATAGGTTGATATTTCCATTGTTCTAGGACAATTGTTAAATTAAGAATTCTAATATCATTTCAAAAATAAAAAGCAATGGGTTTGACTATTTTTTGTATAACTTTTCATAGAAACAACATAGAAACGACCTAAACATTTCATCGTTCAATCCATGGAAAATTGTTTTTCAAAAAACCGCTCAAAACCGCGGTTTTTTTCATTCGACCACGGTTTTACTAGGGGGAACCGCGGTTTAGATTGGATAACCACAGTTGATGGCGGCTTTTTTGAACCGCCGTTTTCTGAAACCGCGTTGCTCGTATTCAGGACCGCGGTTCTAAATACCGGCGTATTCAACGGTCTAAAAAATTGCGACATAGTTATTGGAAACCGCGGTATTGCATAATCCGGTATTCAACGGTTTTTAAAATCGCAGTATAGTTCTTAGTAACCGCGGTGGCAAATACCGCGGAATTGAGCGGTTTCAAAAATCGCGGTATAGTCATTACTAACGGTGGTGGCAAATACCGCGGTGTTGAGTAGTTTCAAAAACCGCGGTATAACCATCAGTAACTGCGGTGGCAAATAACGCGGTATTAAGCGACTTCAAAAACCGCGGTATAGTCATTAGTAACCTCGGTGGCAAATACCGCGATATTGAGCGGTTTCAAAAACCGTGGTATAGCCATCAGTAACCGCGGTGGCAAATACAACGGTATTGAGCGACTTCGAAAACCGCGGTATAGAAATCAGTAATTGCGGTGATAAACAACACGGTATTGATCGGTTTCAAAAATCGCCGTATAGTCATTCGTAACCGCGGTGACAAATACCACGGTATTCAGCGGTCTTAGAAACCGCGGTGTGCCGCCGAATAACCGCGTTATTGATAACCGCAGCTTTCAGCTGAAGAACCGCGCTATGCCTGGTGCTTATACCATCGTAATGGAATGTGTAAGGACGAAGAGGATGTCGTGCCCTGCTATTTTCATGAAATTTTTAAATAAGTTTTCTTATTCTATCTCTCACTACAATGTAACTTTGTGGTAATGGAACTTCAAAAAGTTCACTAGAGTACCCCTCGAAGGGTGGCTCACCTGAACGTTTTCGAAAGTTCAGGTGACTCTGGTCATATTTGTGTCAGGTGTGGCTACGAAAACCGCGGTATATAGCGGTCCAATAAACCGCGGTTTCCAGCGGTTCAGAAAAGCGCGAAAGTCAGACCTTTTATGCGGTTTTGAATACCGATGAAAACCGCGGTGTGAAATTACCGCGGTTCTTGACGGTTTTGAAAAACGCATAAAAGGTCTGACTTTCGCGGTTTCGAAAACCGTTGATTACCGCCGTTTGTGAAACCGGGGTTTCGAGCGGTTTTTCACAAAAAAATTTTCCATGGGAAGAGGAGAACGTCAGGTCATTAAAAAGTTATTCAAAAAACAATCAAGTTCATTACTTTTTGAAAACGAGAATATTTATTTAGACTGTATCTTACTACTAAATGGATTTTTATTTGGTAGAAAGAGTGGTAATGTACCAATGAATATAGCAATTGTAGCATCCGTAACATAACTAAACAATAATTGAAATGATCATCGAGATAAACATAATAATTTTTCAGTTTACTCTTTTCGAAAAATGATTGCCCAACCAGGATAGCTTGAAAAATCACGTGTTACCCAAAGGATTACCATAATAAAAAATAATATGGCTATTATATATTCTCGCCAACTGAGACTACCCAATTCTTCATATTGTTTTTTCAGAACAGACTTTAAATGTTTTTGAGATTCTAAAATATTTTTATCTACTTTAATCCATGGTAATAATCTAAAAGAGATTTATTTTTATTAAGATAATATTTAATATATGTATGAGAAATATTACTCTCTATGATTATACAAAAGTTGTAACCATAACCAACAGATAATGAGCATGATGATACCAATTGGTAATGCAAATAAAAGAAAATTGGTAAAACTGATTTCAAATGCATGAGATCCTTTGGAATAATTCCTAATTTAAAGAACACAAAACAAAACTAGTTTAGCAAAAAAAGATTCATATTATACAAGTATTTACTCATCAGCAAATCCTTTAACAAAAATATTTGGACCAGTTCCAACTAAAGTTGATAAACCACCAATAGCTGCACTATAGGCTACAGCGATGAGATAAGCTTTAAAAGAAAGTCGATAATTTCATTTATTACAATTTTGATTCAAATAAATTAACTATACCAGTTTTAAGTTGTCTATAATCGACATGATTTGTCGGCGTAGAATTTAATTCAATATTTGAGGAACGATCATATTGATCACTAGAAAACGAAAGTTTACGTACAGTTGAGAAAAAATAGAAAACTATCATGTTAATTAAAAGTTAGAATAGATAAAACTATGCTCAATTTTTTTAGAAATCAACTCACTGAATTACTTGTCTATTTAAATCAATTATAACATTATCTTGAATTTTGAGAATTTCTTTTGTCGAATCTTCAATACATGTTTGTAAATCTGTCGAAACTTCAAATAAGAATATTGATTATTTATTTAAATGCATAGAATCAAAAATGTTCATACTCTCACATTCAAGAGGCAGAATTTCTTTCGATTGTCGATGATCTTGAATTTTATCAGTTACTGATTTTTCTTGTGTTTCTTGTTGATGATTTTGAAGTTCATCGATAATGGCAATCGCTGCCGGTATCATGATACTTGTTGCTGCCGAATTATTGATCCACATACTCAAAAAAGCAGTCACTCCCATTAGTCCAGCCATGCTCCTATTAACGAATAAAATTCAATTATTTCAATACTATGTAAAAAAAAAAAACAGAAGAAGAATAGTACATACCACTTGATTGATGAACCAACAATGCTAAGAACAAATAATCCTAATCGTCGATGCAAATGAACGTGTTCCATAGCATGAGCTAACATCATGCTTCCGACAAATAATGTTGTTATTTCCTAAGAAAATTTCAGTATGATAAAAAAAGACAAATAACATTTACTCACTTTGAAATAGTTCAAGCCTACTTCATCACTACGTATAATACCTGCCAATGGGAAGAAAAAAAGTGGCAATATAGAAGTTACGGCATATGGCATTGCTTCGGATACCCAATAAACAGTAAGAAGAAGTACAATATAAGCGCATCGTGCTTGCTAAAAAAGAATCAGAAACAAAAAAAAAAAAAAAGAAAAGTATTCTCTTGCTGTATTATAATGTAAAATAGAAACTAGTGCTTACAGTCGTATTAACAATGAGCGGAAGAGGTAATAGGATAAGTGGTGTGAGAAAAATGATCAATAATCGCCAACGATATTTGATTAGTTTTATTTTGTCAGAAATTATTGTCATTGTTTAATTTCTATCGATCGTTCGTTGTTCGATATTCGTGGTGTAGAATTGTCTATGATATTAGTTTTGTTTTATATTTAATCGCTTTTATATCCGTGCAACATATTACATTGAATAATTATCGTTAGCATTTTTCTTTTGATGACGTTGTTTAGAATGTATTATAGGAATAAAAAAGATACATAAAAAAACGCCCTGTTGGAGGTGCTCTAATGTTTTTTTTTTAAACACGAGATGTATTCGAATTGTGGATTAAGAGATACCAGAGTACATTTTTCTTAATCATGGTCATTAATGTACGAATAAGTAACCTTTTATTTTACTAAAGAATATATTACTCTTTAAATTAACATATGTATATCCTCATTCAATCAATGCATTTGAAATACTATTCTAACATCAAAATCATGGTTGTCAATAAGTTAGGCTCGATGCAGCTGTAATAATTGTAATAGACATATACTATTCTATAAAATTGTAGATAAGATAATTTCTTCGTATCATTTTCTGCAAAACTGAATAATAAGAAATTTTCATGTAATTTTTAAAAAAAACTTAGTATTAATAAAAGGAACATATTATACTGGAAAATAAATATGATAGACTATAAAAGGATTTTTAACAACTAATTTGCATTAGAAATTACAAACTCAATTAAGAAAAAAAAAAAAAAAGAGAATTATCAATTGGTTATGTCATCTATCATATTAAATAAAATCATCTTCATCTTCCATCACAATCAAAAGGTTAATTTAATCTGACGTATACTGAAGCTCATAGAACACATTTCTTAAGAAGATCTTCAAACTTCATTATCATATCAATATAAGTAACTTATCACACCCATATGTTTTTTTGCTCCTTTGCTTATCAAATAAAAAAAATATGTTGCTTGCCTTCCACTTTTTTTTCGTTCTTAAACCTCCAACTTCCTCAGACAAAAAGATTTTACTTATTTATCATTTCAAATGTCGAACATGGATGAAATATACTTTTTATTTGCTTGACATGTGAGTTATCACAGTAATTCTTGCAAACTCATTGAAAAGTTTCTAACGTGAAAGTCAATGTCCGTCAAGCAGTGTTCATCACTTCAAAGATTATCGTTCAAAATTGTTCATTACATTTCTGATTCTGTTAATGTACGGATGATACTATTCTCATTTGACAGAACTTGTCAATCATTAAAAGTATTTTTCAACAGTATTGATCAATATATTTCTAATGTCGAATAAATGTTCTGATTTTGATCTTTGACTTGTTTCATCTTGATAATGTCATTTCATGAACACTTTCTGGTAATTATTAAAGATTTTATAAAATTGAAATGTTTATTCGACTGCTTGGTTTGAAATAATTCACTCGTGTTTAATTTCTGACATTATGTGCAATATAAGAAAACCAGTTGAGAGATATAGTGTCAAACGTTTCATGTCGTAGGTCTTTTGCACAGTACCATCGATATACTGCGATATTCATAGAAATCGGTACTGTACTGATGATTTACCGGCGATAGTGCTTACGACTTTCGATTCCATTTATAAATGACTTTCGAGACTGTTTTCTACTCCCATTCGAATTTGCTATAAAAAAGAAATTAAATTTTTTGTTGCAGTATCTACAATAAAAAAAATTTTCTCATAATTAGGATCGATTTGAGCTCTGTTGCTAATACAGGCGATTCAGACGCATCAATGTTACAAGTGAGTGTCGAAAATGACCTAATTCTATCAGTTTTAACAGATTTCAATAATATTCAACAGTTTTGATACACTGTACTATGATGCAACACTTTCAAAAAAAAAACTATCAATGTAGCGCACATTATATCGAACGGTCAACCAGCGATATACTGGCAGTGTTTGTTCAGTTCGAATCACATGCGATGACAACATATTCGCAATTATTTCGTTCTCGTTGATAGTTGAAAAACACAGACGATTGTCATGAGAGAATAACAACAATATTCCTTTCATCAATATGCGTACAATTGAATTTGGTTCACTAACAGTTTTGCGCACAATATTTCCGTGCCAAAAGACTGTGGACGTAGCTAAACAAAAGCAATACAGCCTACACGAAGGTCTACATCCAGTCATACGCATATGCGTACTCATACTCTATATTCACAACACATTTACACAGTTTTGAGCGTAAGTGTCGTGCGCAATCGGATGTCCGAGAATTGATGTATTGATTTATAAACGCATGCCTTAAGTTACATTTAGAATTTGAACTTAGATATTAATAACAGACAATTGCTGAAAACAATTTATTGATAAAAATCTATCATTGCTGAATAAATTCAAATTCTTCTTTTTTTGCTCTCACAAGTGAGAGTATCAATACAATACTCGGAATATTCATGTTATCATTCTCCATATCTAACGAAACTTTGGTTTGAAAATAAAAATATGGTTTTGCCATTTATGAATACAATCTGAAGTTATCAAAAACGATTAAAATTATATTTAATTCCTATTTGTATCTTTTCGATGTCTTATGAATTCAAATCAAAGAAAATTCCATATTCAACATTTTCCAACATACTAAGCAATAATCAATTAATAACAGACAACGTTAAAGGGGTTGCAAAAATTATGAAAAATTAGTGCTCGTTCAATATGCACAGTAAGTAATTGAGTATATGGTTGGCTTTTAATTCATACAAGATTTTAAGAGTATCTTAAGAAATTGTAGAGGCATGATTAAAATAATTCAAGAAACACGCATGTTACAAGGTCTAACAAAGTTATGAAAATTAGATTTTCTTTTAGAATAATTTCGTTCATATAAACTCTGATGAAACTTTTTAGTCAAATATTTCAAACAAAGTTTGAAAACAATTTGTACATTTAAAGTTAATACTTTAGATTTGACCTATACTATAAGTCGTTTTTTTTCACATATTTTAGTCCTAATTAAAATCCACATATAGATTGGTTGTTTTTTATTCGACACTGGCTTTCTTTACATGATATTACGTGCCGATACTGTTGAAGAATTTCAATTACTTACCATGTTACTGTGCAAACATGGTTATGGATACTTTATCACATAAATATCACTGGAATATATATTAAAAGATAAACATTAAGATCGATGTATAATTTACAAGAATTAAAAGAAAAGTTAACAATTGAGAAGAAGACTCTACTTCTATGAAAGAGCTAATACATCACTTTTGTAAAATTACGATTAGTTCAAATTTGATTTGATGAAAAAATACACATACCTTATTCCATTCAATGATAATACTTCTTTTTAATGTGAGCTAACTTTGATTAAATTGTTATTGTTACTGAATATGTTGTATTGAACTATTTATATTGGTGAAATATATAGATTTCGACCAATGTTATACAGATATAATTTTATCTTATTGCTAATAGACAGACTTAGAAAACAATATTTGCTTCCTCAAAATAGGCAATTTTGAAGCTTAGTTTGATTTCGATCGGTTTCCAACATAGGCTGTGTTAGTATGCAAACAGTTATATATAGATCCAATAACAATGAGAAAAATCAATTCAATAGGTTAAGCAATTTCTTAGGATAAGTCTGTTAGAATCCTTGACATTACTAATCTATCCAAAAAAAAGGACATGTAACGTCATCTTACAGGACATATATTTTGACTCCTTACAAAAAACTCTAGTTTGACTGCCATTGATATATATTTTATCATATCCCGCTTAGATACTCTATGTGGTTGTATCAATCAAAAGTCTATCTGAAAACACGACTGTTCATCATTGAAACTTCGACATTTATCAAAAATCAAGTTTATCTCTCTCAACCAAATTTCACCTGGAAATCAATTTATTGCTCGGCTAAAAATGCTGAGAAAAAGTTCGACAGATCATACAATTAGTTAAGCTACATATGTATGGGTTAAACGAAATAATACCCAGTACGAAAAATAAGACACGATTCGATTTCTCAAAAGTAAATTAGCAAAATTTTCATCAGCCTCTTAGGCACACAACAGAGCGAAACAAAAGCTTTTAGACATTTCGAAATTTTCAAACGTGTTAGAAATGATGTCATTATCATAACCGTTTAATTTTCCACGAACCTAATAGAAAATAGTATGGCATTGTTTAAAGATTTTTTCCTACTGCCGTAGATATTGTGGCTTGTTTTTACAGCATTAGTACATTTTACTGTCATTTTAAGGACATGGTCGTTACTTAGAGGCAAAGCATTCTAGAAATTTTTTAGACATACAGTTAGATAGCGCTTTCAACATAGATTTTATACAGGTATTTATTAGTTTTTCAAAACATGTTATGGTGTGGCCAATGAAAAATGAAGCGACATTTTGCCAGGAACTTTTCCATCACCCATTATTAAGATATATATTGATATTTATAAATGAATTGCAGAAGAAATAAAAAGAATTGTTCTTTTAAATCGTTTATATAAAAATCTATTCTCTAACTTATTGCATATAAAATTGATTGCCGGATGTGAACGGCCAACGCCCTACTTTTGTTTTTTTTTAACTGGCGGAAGAAATGAAAAGAGAGTAGAGAAAAATGAACTATGCTTTATAATGTTGATTGGCGACTTGACCATCAATCGAGTCAGCTACAACTAACAAAGACTTGTTTTCGTATGTAAAGCATTTATCTTGAAGATAGGTTTCATCGAATATATAAGAAAACATTTATTTTTCGATTGTAACAAAATATAACTCAACAATGGAGAGTATAGTAAAAAAATGAAAGCGATCATTTCTCTGGTTATCAATGCAAAGTGAAATCATGACAGAAATTCAGATGAATAATGGTAACATAGAAGACAAAAATAAAGCTCGTGTTAATTGTGAGGATGTTCATCAAGTATTGTATTACCTTCTTCATCATTTATTTACTATTTTTTGCATTAAATGAACGATCGATTAGACTTCAAGTAATTCAGTTTACTTTATTTTAATTGCTATATAAAAGATAAAATTTCATGCCTATTGAAAATCCAATAACTATCTACTAAAA